ACGTCTGCATATGTAAAAGGTCGTGCACATGACGGAGATGGAACTGCAAATACGGAGACCTCAGTTTCTGTTCTTAAATGCTCTGATGATACCGAATCTGGCGATTCTGGCCTGCTCTCATTCAGGAGATCATTGATACTAAGTTCTGAATAATCAACCTCAGACAATGTTGACTGATGAGAAACTGGCCTATCTTCAGAATACCTTAAGAAATAATTACAATGTTGTCTGTTGTTTTCAACAGACATCGTGTCCGGACTTAAGGAACATTTCTCAACTGATGCTGCAGAATCTGGGGAGGATGCTCTAAAGTCCAACAGCCAATCCCGCAGGAGTGACGTGTCTAGATCTGAAGAAACAGAATCTGGAGACAACGCCCTGCTGCTAAATAAGAGATCGAGCTCCAGGTCTGATGAAACAGATTGTGGTGATAGTGGTCTGGTCTCATCAAAAAGGTTAGTGAGACCCCAATCATGACCTTCCCAATCTGAAACACTCGATTGCGGTGTGTACGACCGTTGCTTAAAGCATTGGTCATAATTCTCAATTTGGGCTATGTCAAAATGAGGAACAGGTGAGTCAGGAGAAAGAGCCCTGAGTTCACAGTGAGACGCTATAGACTCTGGTGAACATGGTCTGACTTCCAAGGCCATTTCAGCTGTGGCGGAGTCAGGCAACTCATCAAAGGAATCAGACAGTACTAAAAATGGTCCATACTCCAAAGCCGTGACTTTAGGCATGGCATCGGCTGGTCTTTCATGAGAAAAGCCACGGACAACGTCTGCATATGTAAAAGGTTGTGCACATGACGGAGATGGAACTGCAAATACAGAGACCTCAGTTTCTGTTCTGAAATGCTCTGATGATACCGAATCTGGCGATTCTGGCCTGCTGTCATTAAAGAGATCATTGAAACTAAGTTCTGAATAACCAACCTCAGACAATGTGGACTGAGGAGAAACTGGCCTATCTTCAGAATACCTTAAGAAATTATTACAATGTTGTGTGTTGTTTTCAACAGACATCGTGTCCGGACTTAAGGAACATTTCTCAACTGATGCTGCAGAATCTGGGGAGGATGCTCTAAAGTCCAACAACCAATCCCGCAGCAGTGACGTGTCTAGATCTGAAGAAACAGAATCTGGAGACAACGCCCTGCTGCAAAATAAGAGATCGAGCTCCAGGTCTGATGAAACAGATTGTGGTGATAGTAGTCTGGTCTCATCAAAAAGGTTAGTGAGACCCCAATCATGACCTTCCCAATCTGAAACACTCGATTGCGGTGTGTACGACCGTTGCTTGAAGCATTGGTCATAATTCTCAATTTGGGCTATGTCAAAATGAGGAACAGGTGAGTCAGGAGAAAGAGCCCTGATTTCACAGTGAGACGCGATAGACTCTGGTGAACATGGTCTGACTTCCAAGGCCATTTCAGCTGTGGCGGAGTCAGGCAACTCATCAAAGGAATCAGACAGTACTAAAATAGATCCATACTCTAAAGCTGTGACTTTAGGCATGGCATCGGCTGGTCTTTCATGAGAAAAGCCACGGACGTCTGCATATGTAAAAGGTCGTGCACATGACGGAGTTGGAACTGCAATTACAGAGACCTCAGTTTCTGTTCTGAAATGCTCTGACGATACCGAATCTGGTGATTCTGGCCTGCTCTCATTCAGGAGATCCTTGATACTAAGTTCTGAATAATCAACCTCAGACAATGTTGACTGACGAGAAACTGGCCTATCTTCAGAATACCTGAAGTAATAATTACAATGTTGTCTGTTGTTTTGACCAGACATCGTGTCCGCACTTAAGGAACATTTCTCAAGTGATGCTGCAGAATCTGGGGAGGATGCTCTAAAGTCCAACAGCCAATCCTGCAGCAGTGACGTGTCTCGAGCTGAAGAAACAGAATCTGGAGACAACGCCCTGCTGCTAAATAAGAGATCGAGCTCCATGTCTGACGAAACAGATTGTGGCGATAGTGGTCTGGTCTCATCAAAAAGGTTAGTGAGACCCCAATCATGACCTTCCCAATCTGAAACACTAGATTGCGGTGTGTACGACCGTTGCTTGAAGCATTGGTCATAATTCTCAATTTGGGCTATGTCAAAATGAGGAACAGGTGAGTCAGGAGAAAGAGCCCGGAATTCACAGTGAGACGCTATTGACTCTGGTGAACATGGTCTCACCTCCATCGCCATTTCAGCTGTGGCGGAGTCAGGCAACTCATCCATAGAGTCAGACAGTACTAAAATAGGCCTTGACTCAAAAATCTTTGCTTTAGACATGGCATCTGCTTTATTTTTATTTGTAATGCCATACACAACTTCTTCATATGTAAAAGGTTTGTTCACAGTAACATGGCTTTGTCCAGTGACTTTTTCTGAACAGGAATCATGTATTTTTGGTCCGCTGTTTTCAAAACTCTGTTTGAAACAAATATCTGACTGTATGTTTCTTGGTTGTAGTGTATGTTCAGGGCTGTTTAAGAAAAAGTGAAAGGATTTTTGTTTTTCCTGTTCAATCATTTCAGAATGTTGCGAACACTTTGTCATTGATACTCCAACTTTTGTCGAGAATGACATATTTTCTTGCCTGTTGTTTTGGACCAAATCATCTCCGTAGGAAGCCTTGTCTTTGCATACTTCTATTGTTTTATCCTTTGGAAACTCTAATGTGTACTTTGGTCTTTCTACAAAGTTGAAGATAACAGGTTTATTTCCTTGTTTGTCTGGTAAACTGTGCGTGGTCTCTACAGATGGTCTGTAAAATTTGTGTTCTGGATCAATATTTTCTTCTGTTGATTCTTTCATCCGACTACAGTCTATATAATCTTTAATTTGATTGTTTTCTGCTGTGTTTATTCTTAAATGTGTTATACAATGATCAGAGTCATTTGTTGATGGTCGTAAGACAGAATGTTGAGGTGCCAACTTCGAAAACCAATAATCAAGAAATGATTCCTTACTTTCTTTCTTTTCCTTTAGGACTTGAGTACTGCTTTGAACTGACATTTCTTTTTCATTTACATTGTCTATCCATCCTGTATCAACTGTTACATCCCATTGTAGTGATTCGGGCTCTTCTAAATTGAGGTTGTTCTCATCATGTGATGAAGGCTCATTTGTGTTACACTGGAGATCAGTTTTGTGTGTTGACTGTGACATATGTGATAACGGATAAGCATTTGACGTTTTGTAATTGTCACCTTGCGGAAAAATTTGATCAGAGGGCAATTTTATTTCCAAAGTGCTCACCTTGACCAGTTTTGTCTGATTTTGTGTCATTTGGGGTAAGGTTGGAGTAGCCCCTGAATACTGTAAAAAATAATCACAATACTGACTCATCAGTTGGGAACGTGTTGGTTCAGAGAGCAAGAGCTCAAGGAATGAGAAACTGCAATGAGATGTCTGAGATTGTGGTGAATAGGGACGGTAATCCAATTCTGACGACTCATATTCATGAGTATTTGTGCCTAAATCTGGCAAAGCCTTTTTGTTTAAACAAGTTACTTCATGCAAATGCTCAAAAGGCAACGTTTTTGAAGTCAAACTTGGAATTTCTCGCTGAATAAGTAGACTGTCAGGTAAAAGTGGAGTGTCCTTTGCAACTCCAGAGTCAAGGTTCTGTGCAGGTTTTTCGATTACACCAAATTGCAGTCTACTATCACACACATCTGAAGGATTGGGGTCTGCGTTATTTTCAGTAATTTCAGGTGAAGTACATTTAGCTGAGCTTGAAAAGAGTGCCCAACTAACATTCATGATGGGAAGGTCTGCCCTAAAACCCTTCCTTTTGCTGAGGGGAGAGTCAGGAGACATTGCCCTGTAATCACTGATTGACATGACCGAATCAGGTGATGAAAGTCTAGGCAAAGTGTCACTTAATGTCCAAAATTCTGTTGGTGAGAAACTTTTTTCATCAACACAAGTCTCATAATCTATGGACGTGGATGACAATGATTCATTATCAGATGTTTGTCGGGCATAGATTGGCAGATAGAGGCTGGAAGAGACAGTCTTTGTTCTGTATTTCTCACTGTCTGGACTGATTGAACAACAAATACCAGAGCTCTCGGTTGAGTCACAGGCCATATGAGTGTTTTTATCCATTTGTTGGTACTTGGCTGTAGCAAGAGTGGATTCCACTGTCTGGAGATCATCATCATCATCATCATCATCAATGAAGAACATGTTATCCTGGAAGCCAGTATTATTAACTTGGGTTTTTGTGTTTTCATTGCTTGATGTAAATGGATCATAGCGCATGTTCACATTAGGATCCTGTGGATTCTTGGGCTGATCTGTGAAGACTTGGGCTGTGTGTTCATCAACACACTGTAAGACTTGACTTTTTCTGTCTATATCTGTGGTTTCTTCAGTTATCGCGAGAGTTGCTTGGTGACTCTTTGCTGAAGCAAACATGGTAGGACCAGAGGTTCCTCTCAACTTCTCTTTGGAATAATTTAGAGGGCCAGTATGGGAAATATAGTATTCATTAATCTCTTCAAAGTCAGTCTCAGCTTGGTCTGACTCAGATAAGATCAGACTAATGTCACTCATTGATCCAGATGATGGCAACTTCAAAGTTTCAGGTGACCCCTTATCCTCTTTAGCAGCAAATGTCCCAGAGATGTTTTGGCAGCATATCTCTTTGACTTGGCACTGACCACGACCATGAAAAGACTTGGAGACATGAACTTCAATATTGCAGGGAATTTGATGGTCTTTCCCTTTGTACTTGACATCATAAACTCGACTTGCTTTGCTCTTCATTGCAGCTTCTTTTTTGATGGGGAGCGTACTTACTTGCTCTTCCAAGTTGACATAGCGTGTACGTTCATGTGAAATTACATCATCTGAAGTCCACAGGTTAGGGTTGAGTTCACTGTAACGCACAAAGCAGACACAGTGGCAAATTAATCCTTCAAAATATGATATGTAAAATCCCTAAACTGTATAACTGGCAAACACACATTAGCACAAAAGGCATTCACACTAAGTACAAAGCCAGTGAACACAAAATGCCGGAGCAGCCCATTCAGTGACTCTCGATTTTTGAAGATCTGTTCCAAAATGTGTTAACTGGTATCAAGAGTAAGGCCACTGGGTAGTTCCTTTTAATTCTCATTGAACGTTATTTAAAAATAAAAAAATAAAGGGATGAATACAGGGATGAATGGGTATTGGGCTACGATGACTGTTTTGAGTAGTTGAGTTTTAGTAGTTGAATAAATACTGTTTAAAAATGAATAATCATTTTATTAATCATGATATCAATCTCAATCAAAATAATCGTGATTATTATTTTTCCATAATCATTCAGCACTAATATACAGTGCATGACATATTTAGAAATCCAATAAATTAAATTACTGGGAGATCTCGATTTCCTCCAAAAGGTCACCATGCATACTCTCCGAGTGGATATGTCCGGCAGGCTCTGCCCATGAAGGAATGTCAAGTAGAGAAGCTACAGAGAGGTCTTCTTCAGAAACAGCTGGGGGAGGTTTGCGATCTGATTCCACCCTTCTCACAATCCTGGGGCTGTCCACATCTTCTTGTACTGAAGACAGAGCCACTGACACTGAAAAAAACACCCCGGGATATTAAACATAGGGATGCACGATAATTATCGGCCCGACCGACTCCCCCATGTCTTTCTTTCCTGTATTTTAAACAATGCCTTCTTCCACTTGGCTCCCACAGACTCACGTACCTGAAATCTTCCTGCTGATTTGTAGAATGAAAGTGTATCACTTCCTCATCCCTTGCCGCCTATATGCGCTAATTCACCGAATGAGGATTTCATCACTTTCTCCTACTTCTTAGCCAATCAATGGACTCATGCATCTTATCTTTTCCAGACAGTATTCATACTTGATAATGTAATAATGCATATGTTAAAATAATATGATAATATAATGTAAAATAATGACATATATATATATATATATATATATATATATATATATATGATAGAATAAAGATCGCTCACTTAGTGTACTGACTGAAAACACAGAGAGAAAAATATGTCCCAAAAATACCTTCACTATGGTCCAATGTCTTCTCAATCTCGTTTGCGATCTGATTCCACCCTTCTCACAATCCTGGGGCTGTCCACATCTTCTTGTACTGAAGACAGAGCCACTGACACTGAAAAAAACACCCCGGGATATTAAACATAGGGATGCACGATAATTATCGGCCCGACCGACTCCCCCATGTCTTTCTTTCCTGTATTTTAAACAATGCCTTCTTCCACTTGGCTCCCACAGACTCACGTACCTGAAATCTTCCTGCTGATTTGTAGAATGAAAGTGTATCACTTCCTCATCCCTTGCCGCCTATATGCGCTAATTCACCGAATGAGGATTTCATCACTTTCTCCTACTTCTTAGCCAATCAATGGACTCATGCATCTTATCTTTTCCAGACAGTATTCATACTTGATAATGTAATAATGCATATGTTAAAATAATATGATAATATAATGTAAAATAATGACATATATATATATATATATATATATATATATATATATGATAGAATAAAGATCGCTCACTTAGTGTACTGACTGAAAACACTGAGAGAAAAATATGTCCCAAAACTACCTTCACTATGGTCCAATGTCTTCTCAATCTCTGCATATGTTCTTGAGGTTTGTTCTTGGAGTGATTTGTTCATCTGTGTTTCAATTAGATGAACAATATCCATCCGGTTGATCTTGGTCAGTCTCTTAATCAGGCAATCTTCTGTGGAATTGTTTCACAATGATTGTCAGAAGCTTGTACGGTATATCTCATGGAAATTGACAGTATTTTAATGAAAAATCAAGATTTAAAACATTAAAGTCCCTGTAAAATGAAAATAAAAGGTCTTACAAATTTGACACCACAAAGAAGAATGTAACAAGCATGCCAAATTTGAATGGAGAAAAGGAGTTGCCAGCACAAAAGTTATCACACATTAAATATATTCAGAAAGAAAACAATGAAATCACTTTACGGGGTTTTTAACAATTTAAGTGCAATAATTTCCACTATTCAGAGTCGACAAATACTCCTAGTTTGTCTTTTCGAATAAGGCTGAACTAATATGTACCTGTGGCATGTTTGCCTTCCCGTTCAACCCAATGTTGAAGTAAGGCATGACTCTGTTCTTGAAGTGAATTGGGATTCTGTGTTCTAACTAATTGGATTTCATCCTCATTGAATTCCAGTTCCCTTGCCAACTCTGGGGTCATAGACAACACAATATGAAAGTTATATTGAGAGTGCTGTTGCTGACAAAATAATAACAACATACATTTAAGTGTTTTACATGAATATTAGCATGATCAAAACAGATTTTGTTTAGAAAAAAAAGAAAGTGAGAGAGAATGTACTCGATCTTACCAGTCCAGCTGAAGCCAAGAAGATCTGCAATGATAGCTAATGTCTCCTCTTTCCTGTCAGCATCATCTTGCCAATCCACTAAAATACCACCACATTAAAATTAAATATTTTTAACTGTACCTGTACACATCATTTGCTGTGAATACAGATACTATTTTCCTAAGGACTACGGCTTTATGAATTGTAACAAACCTGAAATTAAATGTGGAAATGTAATGTTGACATTGATGAAAAGATAAAGGTTGGATTCATCGCTCTAGAGAGTTTCCAAAATATGATTATATGGTTAAGATCAGCAGATGAAGCTTAGTAATGTTAGCCAAGCTAAATTAGTATCGGCGATACCAATAGTCTGCATCAAAATAAGCTTGTGAACCAAAACCAACATGACCATTCAATCTTGAGATCGGACACAGACACAGATGAGATGGACAAGTAACTTTTCGACAGGCAAAACACAATACATGCACACACATGATGGCAGAATGCTCTTACGAAGGAGAAAAGAATTCTTGCTGCCAGGGAGAAGGACTAGGAAAGAAAAAGCCTAAGTAGACCTGGCCATACCTGCCATGCACTCTGGAGTTTGTTCATCGGTGATTCTCCGCATCTGATTTTCCACCGTGTCATCCCAGGTAGGCCTAGATTCAAACACATCCACTGTACGGGTAGAGGGTTGCGCACCCATCAAAGAATCCAAATCTAAACTGCTTGAGGTTGGGATGTCGTACATAAAGATGACAGAATCTGGACTCTTGTGACTTGAGCTGCTGATGTCATCAGTGTCCAAAGAAATCGATGATTCTTCAGTCTTACGTATTTGGATTCCTTTCATTTGTCTTGTTGTGGGAAGAGGTCCACCTGAGGAAAGGCTCGATTCATGTGTGGGTTTTGCACTGTCAGAACAACTTCTGCTGCTTTTCCCAGAGGGTTTACTTGGACCACCGTCTGTCTCAGATCTTGTTCTGCGAATCATGGTTGGGTCTTCTGTTTTGCTAACCAAACCGGGCTCACGGTTCTCACAGAATCTTTCCAGTTTTAATTGACTATCCTCCTTTGTTATACTGCCTTGATTGACATTGGCCTGTGCACCTGCAAAAGACATTTCAATGACTGAGCACTGGTCGTCTTCCTCATCCTCATCAGCAGAGGAGTATAATAAATCACAGCTTTGCCTTGGGTCTTCCAATGTCTCCGTCATTGTGCTTGACTGAAGATCGGCAATTGTGGAGTCACGATAGTTTATGCCAAAGCCAATAAGGCCTTTGTCAGTACCTTCAATAATGGTTAGCTTCTCCAATCCTGTCGGGGAACCCAGCTGAACTTCTGTTGAGCAACCAAGATCAGCTTCAGAAAGGTGCTTGTCACTCTTTGACTTGTCACATGAAGGTGTCAGGAGAGTTCTGGGTTTGGGAATAGGAATAATGTGCTTTGTTGGATTCTGCACGACTTCCTCTCCAACTGAATCGCTATTGTCAAATTTTGACAAGGTGTTTTGCTCTTCCACACTCGCCTCTGAAACAACTTCATCCACTGGATGTTCCTCGATTTGAAAAAATTCATATCCTTCAACATTTTCATCAAAACTTCTTGTGAGATCAATTGCGCCCCCTCTGGTCATTTCAAATAGCTTTCCCTCTTCAAATTTAAATTGATCAGGGGTTTTGGCATCGCTTGGTGATTGAGCAGGTGATTTATGAAGTGTTTTCCTGTCCTCTGCTCGATCATAATCATCATATGTCTTCTGTTCATCAACTTGTCCATTGTCGGTTACAGAATCGTCAAACCCGGATGTACAACATTGGGTTTCTCGAGTATCCACTGTAGTTGAAGGTTCAGCAATTCCTTGAAGTAGGTCATTGTTTTTGTCATCTGGATGGAGGTCTTCTGTAACAAAGCTATGAAAATGCGAATCAGCAGCTCCCCTGTTTGAATTACTGCCACTGTCATGTATTTCAGATGGGCTTTCTTCCAAGAGTTGTGGAGACTCTTCATTTCCTGGAAATTCTGGGTTTATTTGTGACTCACGTTCTTCCCTCTCTTCATGTATACTATGACTTGAAACAATATCTGTTCCTGCAACAGTATTTTCAAAATATTCCCCTGGTGTATCTGTAGCTGAGGCCATTTGTTTATCTAGCTCAATATCCACATGATCACTTAACTGTGATGATGCATATGGGGATGTATCCCTCTTTGTTTTGGCTTCCTGTTCCATTTCATCAAAAGTTTTGATCCTTGCAGCCATTTTAAACATCTCCTCTTCTGGGGTAAATTGATTGATTGTGGAATAATCCTCCTGTTCATCTTCATGGAAAGAGGGATAGTTGTCACCTTCCATTTGTGTGACGTTTTCTGGTTCATTGTCATCTTCTGGTATATTTGCATCAAAAGCTATACAGGCTTTAAGTTGTGATGCATACTCCTCATACACAGCTGCCTTGGCTGGCAATGTTCGGTCTCCAGTGTCATCTGATTGAGTGGGGCTTCCTTCAAGAGAATCTGGACAAGGAGATTCTCTTGTAGGGCTTGGCTCAATGGAATCTGGGGATTTCTTCGAAGACATATCTTCCACAACCGGACTTGCCTCCAGAGAGTCTCGTGGATAAAGCTCTTTAACTGGTTCATTGAAACCGTCAGTGTCAAGGTTCTTTAAATCAACTGGCCTTCGTGGTATAAGTGGGCCAGTGGTGGCAAAATTGGCATCTTCTTTATATTCATTCATGCATTCACCCATTGTTTCATATGGCTTTGGAAATTCCTCAGTACTTTCACTATAGTCACTAAAATGTGACTCTACAGCAGCTGAAATTTTAGGCGCATCCTCTTTAATTAGGAAACTCTTCCAACTTTCTTCCATCACTTCATGTGAGTAAGACTTGCATTTTATTTGCTTTGATATGGCCTCATCTGAGAGCATTGTGCCATTTTCAGTCGAAAATGTACTTGGTTTTCTGTCAGTGTCTTTTGATATTATATCTTGTTTGCAGGCCTCATGGACAACTTCCTCGACGGGGTGGCATTGCATCAGAGCTGGTTCTTCCTTTAAATAATGATCTAAGTCATCCCCAAGGAGTGACAACATGCCTGACATATCCCCCCGAGTTTTATTATCTTGTCTGTATTTCTTTTCATCAGTGCAAACTTCCTGGAGTGATGCCTTGATAACTGAACTTGGACTGACTTCTTTGCTTTCAACTACATGAGTCTGCATCTGTGTCATTCTCTCTCCATCATGCTTATTGTCATTTTCAGGGTTCTCCTCACTAAGAGGTTTATTGAATTTAGTCAGAATAACTTCTTCAAATTTCTCCTGAATAATGTCCTCTTCTGGAGTCTGATATGTCACTGGTCTATCCATCAAGCATTGGTCTAAGTCACTCTTTAGCAGTAATATCATGCCCGGAATTTCCTTTATATCAGTAGATGGTTGATATGAAGGCTTTTGCCCATTCCATTCTTGTGTGATTGGGAGCTCTTTAGTCAAGGCCTGACTTTCACCTATTTCTTGTGTTGTGTGATCCACTTTTACATCATCAGTGACATGGTCCTGTTTCTGAAAATGAGTTTCTTCCTCTGGCCAGATAGTCACAGACTCTGTGATTTCATTCAAGTCACTCACGTTTACTGACAACTTCCCAGAAAGTTCTTTTATGTCTTGGGGGGCTTTGGATATTCCATATTCATTCTCCGTGTCTTTGGCTGCATTTATTTCAAATGACTGATGATCCACGCTTGCGTGATCGGCTCCTTCGGGTCTACCCACAACTCTGTGAGTTCTTTCAACAGAAACAAATGAATAGATGCCTGTCTCTTGTTCCTTTGTTGAGATACTTTGCTCAGACCTTTCCTCAAAAACCTGTTGTGGTGGTTTCTCATCAAATTTCGTTTCGAGACACTGATCCAAGTCAGTTGTCGTTAGGCACACCAACCCTGACATATCTTCCACTGCTCTGGGACCCTGGTTATCGATGTTCTTGCCGATGTGGACTTCTTCGAGTAGTTCTTCTTCAAATGTGATTTCATCATTGTCATCGCTCATCTCAGGGGCCATTGCAAGTCCTTCGCTGTCCCCCAAACTGGAACAAGGTGTCCTAAGTTCGTCTTTTCTTCGAACAGTTTCTTCAAAATGTTTGAATTCTTTGGCAAACTGAAGCTTATCTGAGACAAAACTGTGAATTTCCTTCTCATTTCCATTGGTTGAGATAAGTGGTTCCACATTTTCCTCAAAAATATCGTCTTGGTCTGATTCCTGATTTTGATCCAAATCATTGTTCATTAAGGACACCAAACCTGACATATCTGTCACTGCTGTGGGTATCCGGTTATTGAGTTTCTCGGCAATTTGAACTTCTTCATGTCGTGGTTCATCAATTGCCATTTCTTCATTTACATTCTGCATCTGAGGGGCTGGGATAAGTTCCTCAGAGTCATCTCCCAAACTGGAACAAGGTGTCTTATTTCTGTCTTCTCTGATATGAGTTTCTTCAAAACGTTTTTGTTCGGTGCCAAATCCAACCACACTAGAAGCTAGTGGGGATTTGGCTTTGTCTTTTTCCTTTATAAGGATAATTTGTTCAAAGTTTTCCTCAATTATCTCCTCTTGTTGTGGTTGATCTGTCAGAGGACAAGATTCGAGACACTGATCCATGTTCATTTTCATTATGGACACCAACCCTGACATATCCTTCACTGGTGTGGGTCCCTGGTAATCTGTTTTCTTGCCAATGGAAACCTCTTCAAGTAATGGCTCATCAGTTGTGATGTCGTCATTATTGTTGTACACTCCAAGTTCTTTATAGTCCTCTCCCAAACTGGAACACAATGTCATATTCCTATCTTCTGTTTTGACAATTTTTTCTAAATGTTTCTCTTCTGTGCGAATCCCAACCTTATCTGAGGCAAAAGAATGAATGTCTTTTTTGTTTTCCTTTTTTAAGATTACTTGTTCAAAATTGTCTTCAATTATATTCCCTTGTGGTGATTGATCTGGTACAGACTTTGTTTCTAGACATTGATCCAAGTCATTTTTCATGAAGGACACCAACCCTGACATCTCTCTTACTGCTGTTGGGTCGTGGTTATTGGCTTTGTCGTCAGTATGAAATTCTTCAAGTTGTGGTTCATCATGTGTGATTTCTTCATTATCACTGCTCATCTGAGGGGCCACATTAAATTCTTCATAGTCATCTCCCAAACTGGAACGAGGTGTCTTATTTCTGCCTTCTCCTATATCAGTGTATTTGAAATGTTCCTCTTCTGTCCCAAACCTGGCATCATCAGAAACAAAGAGATGAAAGTTTTTCCCGATTCCCTTTGTTTGTATAACTTGTTCAATATTTTCCTCAATTACACAATCTTGTGGTGGTTGATCTGGTACAAATGTTGTTTCGAAACTTTGATCCAAGTCATTTTTCATTAAAGACACTAATCCTGAGATCTCTTTCACGACTGTGGGTGCCCGGTTATTGGTTTTCTCGCCAAAATGGACTTCTTCAAGTAGTGGCTCATCCATTATGATTTCTTCATTATAATTGTTTATCTGAGGGGCCACTGTAATTTCCTCATAGTCATCTCCCAAACTGGAATGAGGTGTCTTATTTCCCTCTTCTCTTCCATCAGTTTTTTCAAAATGTTTCTGCTCTGTGCCGAACCCAGCCTTATCCAAAGCAAATGGATGAATGTCTTTCTCTTGTTCCTTTATTGGGATAATTTGTTCAAAATTTTCCTCAACTATATTCTCTTGTGGTGTTTGATCTGGTACGCTTTCGAGACATTGCTCCAAATCATTTTTCATGAAGGACACTAACCCTGACATCTCTCTTACTGCTATTGGGTCCTGGTTATTGCCTTTCTTGCCAGTATGAACCTCTTCAAGTAGTGGTTCATCAATTATTTCTTCATTAAAATTGTTCATCTGGGGGGCCACTGTACATTCATCATAGTCATCTCCGAAACTGGAATGAGGTGTCTTATGTTTGTTTTCTCTTATATCAGTTTCTTCAAAATGTTCCTCTTCTGAGTCAAATGCAGATGCATCAGAAGCAAATATGTCTTTCTCTTTTTCCTTTGTTCGGATAGTTTGTTCAAAAATTTCTTCAACGATATCCGCTTTTTGCGGTTTATCTGTTACAGGACCAGATTCCAGACACTGATCCATGTCCATTTTCATTATGGATACCAACCCTGACATATCTTTCACTACTGTGGGTGCCTGCTTATCTGTTTTTCTGACAATGTGGACCTCTTCCAGCAGTGGTTCATCAGGTGTGATGTCTTCATTGTCAGTGTTCACCTGAGGGGCCACTCCAAGTCCTTCACAGTCATTTCCCAAACTAGAACAAGATGTCTCATTTCTGTCATCTCTTACTTCAGTTTCTTCAAAGTGTTTCTGTTCTGTGCCAAATCCAGCCACGTCAGAAGCAAGTGGGTGTACGTCTTTCTCCTTTTCCTTTGTAAGGATAATTTGTTCAAATTTTTCCTCAGTGATAGTCTCTTGCAGGGGTTGATCAGTTACAGTTGTAGTTTCGAGACACTGATCCATGTTAGTTGTCATTAACGACACTAACCCTGACATATCTCGCACTGTTGCAGGTTGCTGGTAATCCATTTTCCTGCCAATGTGGACTTCTTCAACTAGCGGTTCCTCAATTGTTTTTCTTTCAGTTCCATTATCGTATTGTGAAAAAAATGCATTTCTTCCATCATTGCTTGTTAAACACTCTTTTTCTTCATCACTTAGTACTTCATCCAGGAGCATCCCTTCAAGTCCATCATAGTTCTGTGCGACACTTGAATGATATGACTTATTTTTGTCTCGTCCAGAACTTGTTTTTTCAAATGCTTTTGGAAAATTATTCTGTTCTTCTGGCCAACCAATCATTGGCCTGACCTCTTGGAACATATCCAAATCATTGTTGTCTGACAATAGCCCATGTCTCCTTTTTGCACCTTCTAATTTTTTACATTCACTCTCTGTTTCCTCATTTTCCAACTTCAATGACTGATCTTTAATGTCGTTATGATCATTTTCTCCTTCTGTATCAAACTCAAGACTCCCAGATGAGAATGTGCCGGTGTCATTTTCTTTTTCCTTAATCAGGACAATTTGTTCAAAATGTTCCTCAATAATAAACTCTTGTGGTGGCTGATTTGGTTCAGAATTGGTTTGTAGATACTGATCCAAGTCTGTTTCCATGAAGGACGTCATTGCTGACATATCTTTAGCTGATGTGAACGCTTGCCTATCTGTGTTCCTACTAATGTGGACCTCTTCCAGTATTGGTACCTCACCTGTGATGTCTTCATCTTCATTATCATTGTTCATCAGATGGCTAAATTCAAATCCTTCATCAATCATTTGATCATCATTAAGAGAAATAGTTTCCCCGAATGAACTGCACATTGGCAGTCTATCAACCACAGTCTCCACATCAGATCCTTCAATCTGAAAGCTCACATCTAAGGCTGTGGATGTTTGCTTGAAAAGCTGGTACTCAGGACTTTCTTCCAGCTCAGCCTTTATGTCAGCACTGAAGTCCTCAGAAGGCCTGCGGTCAGGGCTTATCTGCAGTTCTTCAGATAAAGTCATACCGGTGCTGAGAGATTGCTCTTCCACTTGCATCATTCGCCAGTCCCTCCTAGTTAAAAGTTCTCTCTGAGGACTAGTCCTCCCCTTGTCATGCTGAATTATATCAGCATTGTCTACCTTGTTTCCAAAACAAACGTCATCTGACATTAACTCTGATGCATCAGAGGAATTGTAATCTGTAGATTTTGCTTCCTGTGGGCTAGTGGCTTCTTTGAGAGCGACTGCTTCAAGTGCTGAAATATTCGGAGGAGAATCGGAGTCATACTTAAAGAGCCCATCTTGGCATTTTGAAGGCTCTTTCCCAAACTGGAATGCTTTTGTTAGCTCTTTAACGGACATACTTTGCTTTACAAAAGGCTCAGTTGACTTTTTGCTTGTGTGAACACCTTTGTCGTCACAAAATGTGACCGTCTTTCCAACATTTGCATCAGAGATTAGTAGTGATTCCTTTGAGCTGTCTTTAAGTATGCCTGTTGGTGGATATCCAGAGTCAGCTTTGTCACTTCTTTGAAAGTCATTCTCATGATGGGGAATGCTGAGGTGTTGACTTTCGGATTTTGGTGGCAGTTTTGGACTTTGGTAAGTCTCCTTTTTATCTTCAAAATCTGCTATTTCGATTGCCTGTGTGGAATCACAAGACGCCAATGCTTTGTGCTCAAAAAGCCCCGATTTATTTTTTGAAGGGTCCTGGCCGGTCTGGAATGCTTTCATCAGCTCCTTCACAGACATAGTCTCTTCTAATCTTTCTGTCTGAGATCTGGGGGATTTGGGAACACTGGGGAGCTGTGGCATTTCATCCTCCATTTTTGTTTTTGCAAGGGACGAACTTAGAATCTGTACCTGAGCATGTTTAAAGGCTTCCTCCTCTTCAACTTGGTTTTGTAAGGCTTTAACCCGGTCCTTTATTGATCCGAAAGGTGTTTCAACCACACAAGGAGAAGCTGGTGGATCTATCACTGGTGCAAGAACAAGACCACTCTCATTCAGAACAGCATCACCGTCTAATGACTCCTCGGAGCTCATCCTTTCCAACTCTCCTTCAGAGCTACTATATGCAGAACGTTCTCTGTCTCGTATCTTTCTCCTAATAGGTTTCTTGATGTCAGGAGGTCTTCGTTTACCATCAGACTTCACAGTAAGATGTTCAACCGTTTCTTGGACAACCTCCTCCTGAGAATCATCCATCAATGCAGCTTGCTGTTTCAGGTTTTTGTCGAAGCCAGGGTATGAGCCCATGCATGCCAGGTCCTCTGTGGCAAGTCTGCTTAAAGTGCTCTTTGTCTCAACATTCCTTGCTTCAAGTGACTCTAAAACCGAGAATCTCTTTGCTTTTCTTGCACTCTCCTCTTGCGCTTCCTCTTTAGTGCTACTAATCCGGTTACTCTGAATCCCTCCACCCTTTCCAAGCCTCTCTTGTAGTTCATAGCTGGCAAGAGTTTCCTTTTCTTCATTCCATCCAGAACCATCTGCCTCCAAATTTTTCAAGTGATCTGATTGCTCAGAATTCACAACAGGAATTTTTACGTCTGACATATCAGACAGAAGATCCGGGCTTGCAAGGGCTGCAGGGTCCAGAGGTTGACTCGTTTTCAGTGAGAACGTTGATTCAGATTCATCATCTTCGGTTAAAAACGTTCATCAACCAAAAAGGGTAAATGACATAGGGGACAAATGAAGTGGGGAGGAGAGACATCAGAAAACTTTGATCAAGACAATGCTGTTAAAATCCAGACTGAGTTCAGAGATCAAGGAAGGACGGCTAGGACAGAGAATCGGGAAGTCTTCAGAGACCAAAAGATGGGGAAAAAAAGGACCAAAAAACAGGAAAAAGTGATCCAGAAGTTTTAGCTGAGTGGAGCAGCAATAGCCTAAGCAAAGCCCAGAAAAATACTTTATATGGAATTCGAATGCCTTAATTAGCAATTGATCATAATGGTAGTGTCCCAATTCATGAGAGAGGAAATCAAACATAACAAAAATAAAATTGCCAAACAGAACAAAATTATACAACAAAGAACCAAACATTGTATGGAACATAGGGACAGGATGGAGAATGGACAAACAATAATCTCTCAAGATTGCCAATGACATGGAGAGTCATGTCTGGCAAAAAATCAAGTACTAAAGTCTATTTGAATAAAAGCTTTTGGTAACTGCGTAATGAATCCCGACCTCAAAAGAAAATCTGTTTTTTGCGATTAAAAATGTGATCAGTATTCCGAGTACTATTTTGTGATATAAAACAAAAATAACTCAAACACAGATAAATGATTGGAAAATAAAATAGTTAATCAATAAATGAAACTGGTGTGTGAGGTGAGTAAAATCAATGGAGTTGTACAGTCTACCACTTAACCGTTATGATAAAATGTGACTATGGATGTAATTTACAGTGCAGTCGAATAGATAAAATGTAACCACAATAAACAGTAAATAAAACATAATTGTAGAGGACAAAGTGGTAACACAGGGTAAAATTAAATTCAAAATATATTAACGTTAAAAATAATTCAGCAAAACATATTTTTCCATTATTTCTGTACAGAGCAAAACAAATTTGCCCCTGGTTCCTAAAATAACACTGCACTATTAAATAATACTGTCATCCTTGATGAATGAGGTCAAGCTCAAATAATATGGAATCTAAATTAGTTGAAGTGGATTCAAATAAGTACAATTCAAAGACCTCAAAAAGAGAAAGAAAGAGAGCAAGGGAAGCAAAGAAAGAGCCACTATGGCGGAATTAGTGGAAGGGAAATGCACAGCCAGAGCGTAGCCACCAATAAGGACATGTTAGGACAGCAAAGTAACACAGCAAGGGGGATTCAAATTTTAAGTAACACATCAAACAGTGCATATTTTGGCATATACATGTTTTCCCGGGGCTAAGACTATGTCACAACCTTTATGATCACTCTATCATCTGTTCACTAATGTCATTGTCTTCATCTTGATTGTAAAATGTGTTATGTAACATGGAACTACAAATGAAAAGCAGTACTTAGACATACAGTACAGTGGTGTCTTGAGATATGAGTTCAATTTGTTCCATGACCAAGCTCATGACGCAAAACACTCATATCAAATCATATTTCCTTATTGAAATGTATAGAAATACAATTTATTCGTTCCAGCATTCCCCCGAAAATAATTTTGTGTTTTTAATGAGGAGAAATAGCACCCTAAAATTTTGTATTTTATAAATACATCGAATAAGAACAGAAATATAGAGAATGTAAAGGATGAAACAGTTTGTCCATCATGATTTACTCGTGCAATTCAATTTATTGGACTGTTTTTTCTGGTGTGCCCATCTTGGGAGACAGTATAAAACTGAACAGTCATAAAGACACAAACGAACAAGAATAGACTTTTACTTCTACTGTTAGGTGACTGAGTAAAATGCTGTATATTCGACATTTCTCAGTTCACTGCCACTATACAGGAATCTCAAATTTGTGCTCACAAATCGAAGCTAAAGATAAAATGAAAATCATCTCGATAACAGATCAAATCTATAAAAAAAACTCACGAGTCAGGTCACTTGTATTTCAAGGCACCACTGCATGTGCTTTTCATTAGACAGTGACAATTGATATTTAATAGAGTGTACAATGGAGTAGTTTCAGATCATGTCACAGATTACAATGAGATTTAAATAGTAATGCCAAAGATGCTGATCACCGGAAAGAGTTCACACATTTCTTAAAACTGTAAAAGCTTCACTTACATTTCTTGTCACTCTTCTCACTCTGCGTGTGAAAGTGGATAAAGCATAGTTATCAACAAATGTTTTATTTCTTGTTGTGAGAGTGCATCAGGAAGGTTTGTTTACCTCGTCATCCATGTCTTGTTCCGAATCAGACTCCTATTCAAAAGAAGGAAACAAAAATGTTTCACAATGACAAGTTTCACATCAACTATTTTTTTTATTTAAATTCAATTTTACACTGACCTTGGAATATGTTGGGAGGGTGATGTTAAGGTTGCAGATCGCATTATGGTTCAGACTGCGGTATGTGCGTGGTTCTTTCGTGAAGGAAAGCCGACCACATGGCTCCTGTGCCGTGTCTCTAATCTGTGCATCGATTTAAAAACACAAATCACTCGCCGAATGAACTGGTAGAAAGCTTAAACTTATGTTTCCTAACATACTTTAATGAAAAGGGCTAGTCGGTTCTCTTTGAAGGCAAAGAAGCTGAAGACATGATGCTGCCCACTCTTGGTTAGTGGCACCAGGTTTCCAAAACAGTCAGCAAATATGGGTTTTCCTTCCAGGACCTGCGTTAATATAACAAGAATTATCATTATTTAAACACAGTATTCAAATTAAAAAAGATTTTCTACTCTCTTCATATTACACACAAGGTCAATATTCGGTACACCTGCACCGTCAGTCGTAATGTTGAGCCCCAAACATTTCAGTGAAAAATTGTGCAGTTGGGATGCGTGACATCCCATTTGCATATTTTCATTTTGTCTGTAGAGCAGATTTAACTCCTCCCACTCAAAGTCAACACTGCACCTCAACATCCCGGCTTCGTGCGACTTCTGTGAAGTTCTCTTGCTGCTCCAGTGTCTTGTCCATTTTGTCATCAGTCATACAGAAACAGCGAAGTCGTGCTTCAATGGGGTCCAAGGTCTTGGCAAAGATGACAAACTTGGCCATGTATGGGACACAAATAATCTCTCTGTACAACTGAGAGCCAAAACTAACAGAATCCTGGACTTGTCGGCAGTCGATCAGCCAGAATCTAAAAATATATACGACACATAGAGTCAACGTCATTCCAGTTACACGGGGGTGGAATGTTCATCACGAAGAGGTGGACTTCACATGAACTTCACCTTGCTGACACATTGGTCGTGAAGGAAACACACTGATTAACAAAGGTAAGAGGTGTAGAGCCTGTGATGTCTTCCCATTGAGCAGGTGTTGTTCCGCCTGAAACAGAAACAGGTTTTGTTCCATCCATCCATTTTCTAGCCCACTTTTCCTCACAAGGGTCGCGGGGTGTGCTGCAATCAGCCTGTCATGCATGTTTTTGGAATGGTGGAGGAAACCTGAATACCCGGTGAAAACCCACGCAGGGACGGGGAGAACATACAAACTCCACACAGGAAGACCGGAGCCGGGATCGAACCCACAACATCTGCACTGTGAGGTACACGCTAACCACTTGTCCACTGTGCCGCCCACAGGATTTTCATAGACTCACCCGTAATACTACAAAGCAAACGTAGGGTTGGTGTTTCCCCGCTGTACACAGATCCGACTCCTTCATTGTTTGAGCTTTTGGGAATCGGGATTGTCATGGTGATTGGTTTGTGGAACTTCCTTCTTCTTGGTTCCAGCGTGACAATTGGACTGAATGTGGCCTTGTTGCCAAGGATTTTTCTCACCACATCAACTTCGATGGGTTGAGCCTGAGACATATAATGCCATCAAATTTTGTCATCTTATTGACCACATCGTATGCGTGCAACAAATGAGCTGTTCATGTATGGTACAGACCTGTAGCCCAACTCGGATCTTTTTGGTGAGGGCTCCCTCAGGGAAGACAGCCTGTACCTGAGGAACAAGAGTGCTACTGAGGACGCCGCCCTCTGGACCGATCAGATGGCTGTCCTGTTTTATTCTTGACACCACAGCAAAATACTGTGGAAAGTCTCGCGTGATGATGCGGCAGATTCTTTTCTTCTCAAGCTCCTCAGGAGAATCCAGTTCTATAAAATCCAGAAATACTCAACATGAGCAACGGGGAATCTTTTATGTTTTATGACCAGTAGTGTTGACATTTTACATTCAACAAAAGCAAGACTAAAATCAAGACTCTGAAAAGCTGTCAAGAAAAAGACCAAGGGAACGTTGAGCCCAAGACCAACTTCTTTCTCAAAAATATATGCTGTTGATCTAAAATGTGTCATGTATTTTTTTTGTATCTTAGTGAAGAATAATCTCCAGTCACACAAATGACACACTGCAGTGATCCAACCACTTTGGTCCCTTACTTTCATCCATTCCATTCAGGATCTGGTTCAGCTCCTCTTCAGTGAAATCGCAGTGATGCTCCCTCCAGTTTTCTCCCGTTTCACTCCTCAAGATGACCAGCTCCCTCTCAGTGCCCCTCAGAGCAGCAAAATGCGGGATCTCCACAATCACGGGACTAATGGGAGAAACCAAATAATCTAATCAGAATTATTTCAGCAATTAAGTTACAATATGCCAAAAGCTGATAGGTGTGTTAAATTGTGAACCGCCTTTGAAAGGAAAGTAACAGCATTTGAATATTAGGTGCAAGCCATGCATCAGGACATTCATTTGTAAAAATAAATAAATAAATAAAAAGAGGAAAATATACCGTTCTCTATGAACACATTGCAAGACAACAAAACAGGATCAGTGGATGTGCAGTATAAATTCATGGGGAGAACTCAACAATAAAACTGGAAAAAAACAGCACATTTAAGACTGGTGTTTTCAGCCTTTATAAAGGCATAATTTTAGTCTGAAGAAGAAAAATCTCATTTGATATCTCATTCGTTCTTTCCTTTTTCAGTGGCAGACGAAAAACAAACCAATGGAAAAAAATGACTGAATCTTTTATTTGCTGTCTGTCATGTGGATATCAGCAACATTCCTAAAATCAATTCTGATGTGTTTCTCATTAAGAGTCACACATTGTGTTCTATTCCTAACCAGGGTGCCGTGGCACACGAGAGTGTCATGAAGAATCAGGGGTGCTTGATCATCAATCTATGATGCCGATGTATAGTGACAGGTGAGGAAATGAAATACTCTTCCATTGGCTGTCAGGAGGTACAATAAAACTTTGTCTGCACCTTTTGCCATCCATACGTAAGTCATGGCTTCATGAGAAAGACGAGCTTTGTATTGAATGAAACAGTCAATTTGTAATGAAAGTGAGATGAAACCATCATTATTTCAGTATTCATACATTTTTTTGTTTGGTGGTGTGCCATGAGATTTTTAAAATGTAAAATGTGTGCCTTGACGCAATCAAGACACTGTTCTAAATGAAACATAAGTGTCCATGTTGTAATGCGGTTGATGGATCGGTATCGTCATCCTGACTGACGGTAAACAAACTAACGTACTCTGACTGATGCTCATTACCAGACTTCTGGGTTATATAAGCCGGATCAATTAAATATTCAAATCAAATTCAAACCAGTGGCCTGTTTTTCCATTCGTAATCGGAGCCTAAAATTGAAATATGACAAACAAGACATTTTTTTTCAGATATTCGCATTAAATTAAAAAACAATCACTTTTTCCCATAGTTTTTTTCTTTGACTTTTGCCAACTGAATATGGAAAGGATGAATGATATGCAGATTAAAATGTCGCAGTTCTTTACTTGTCAGCAAAAGGAAGGGAGCTGAATACACAAGCTCGTGCCGACTGTGTACCAGCCCACCTTTCAACTGAATAACTTGGACACTGTGCCGCCGCCCCCTTACTAGTTTGGAGTACAATATGAATCGATAGCTCATCCAGGCAAATTATACCTTCAAAAATATCAAAAAAGACACAACAACATAAAAAAATGAAAAAAAAAATAAACAAACAACACAATCTTGGATGAATACTGGATCTTGGGGTGGGCATGGTGGGCCCCTCCTACCCGAGGAACTTGGTTCCTGGAGGACCCAGTTGTAGGATGCGACTGACCAGGCTCTCGCCCTCATTCAGAGGGGGCGGAGCTGTGGGAAGGTGAAGCTTACTGATCCATGTGCAGCACAGGAAGGAGTGAAGAAGACAGTATGAAGAGAACACCCCAGCGTAAAACCACTCACTCACACACACACCCAAACGCCCACTCATGCTGACTCCGACTCCAACACACACTTACCCCAGGAACTGTGCTCCAGTGGGTCCCACTTCAATGATGCGACCAGCCAGCCCCTCACCTTCGACCATCGGGGGCATGGAGGCCAGGCGGTGTCTTTTTACCAGCCTGCATGTCACCCTCGTAGGCGCAGAACACTTCCTAGGCGGCACGATGATTCTTAGGCCATTATGACGGCAGCCTCGCATGGCACCGCCTCTTGCGTCTACCATGAAGCTGACCAGAAAGCTAAAAGGAGAGGTGTAAACCACGATTAGCATAAAGGCTTGTATAATGCTGAATAATTTTGTCGACTATGTAACTCCATGCAGAAAAGGAAAGATGGGAAAAGGGGTTCAGGTTCCATCACCATTCAGCGTTGTTATCAACACAAGGTCACGATGGTCACAGTTGCTTCAAGGCAATTTTCAAGTTTCATTCCATTGAATAGGTTATTTTGCAAGCAAGGCAGGCAAATCGCAAGATTTCTTTCGGGATACTTATCCATCTTCATGTGAAAAAAAAAATTAACAATTGAAAAACTTGGGGCACACTTGTTTCCACGCGTTCATTTTAAGACGCCTCCAATAATTAAACAAGATAACTTACACCGAATAGATACTCTCTATGTATTTCTCATCACACTTGCCCTCATAAACAATATGAACTATTAAAAATATCTGTCGTTAGTCGTGTGACATAGCCTTATTCTTCTTGCTATTATTATTACTACATAGAAATAAGGTGAAATCTCCCTGTACGACAAAGCTGATCAAACTATATACAACTACAGACATAAAACATTGTAAATGAATCTCTGAAAGTGTCAATATGGATTTTAATGATCAAAATTTAGGATTCAGCTCTCATCTAATGTATTGATTGTGTATCAGACTACGACGATGACCTGGAATTGACCAATCTGGGGAACAGATTTGGGAAATCGGTAGTTTACAAAATGTGCTAGATTGTGCATTAGCAAACCATGCATGGAGGAAAATGGGAGATGGAGGAACGTTTTGACGTTTATTGGAAGGCAAATCTCAGAGTATATGAGGAAAAGGACAAAGACGGGAGGAGTCAGAGAGCGAAGGCAAAACAAAAGAGAATCACCTGCTATTGTCATGGTCTAGGCAAGGAGACGAACGGCTAAAAAGCAGAATACAACAACACACGCAATCACAGATCACAAAAGACGAGTGTGTGCGGAGAAGCCACAAGACAATAAAAAAAAGAGGAAAAAAATTATTGACGAGTGAATTAAAAGTGAGAAAAATCAAATACAAAGTAAAAAAAAGTGACTCACTCGAAACGTACAATGATAAAAAAATGTGTGCATAAGCAGCCTCATTTAAATGACACTTCAGCGGTGTCACTTCCCCAACAAACCAGCAACTGCGTGTGTGTGTGTGTGTGTGTGTGTGTGTGTGTGTGTGTGTGTGTATGTGTGTGTGTGTGTGTGTGTGTGTGTGTGTGTGTGTGTGTGTGTGTGTGTGTGTGTGTGTGTGTGCGTGTCTGTGTGAGCATGTGGGTGTGTGTGCATGCGCTTATGTGACATCATACCCAGAGTGCAGCAGACTGGAGGACAACACCACATTATCAAGGTGCTCAGCCCCCCAGCTCAGGCGGAACGAGTCTTTGTCTTGCTCCCTTGACAGCGCTGACACCTAAAGACGAAACAAAACAAGACTTGTCTTTGACTCCAATTGACAAAACATATCAGTGTCTTCTTTTCTTTTTCAACATGTCCTCACTTGATGGCTGGTAATCATGTCCTCAATAAGAACACCGTCCCTCTGATGGAAGCTTTGGTGCTGAGGTCTGAAGCAAATGTGACACATTCAGAATGTGTGTGAATACGAAATAAATAAACACAGCATCATCCACAATTATTGGCATCTAGAAAGATAGATAGACAGATCGATCGATCAATAGATATCAGCGTATTAGGGACCTGTCCAGGTTGTGGCTCATGTAGCTGAAGCTTTCCAAGTAGTGTCCTGGTAGAGAGTCATCGCCAAGCTCTCGCAGGTCCTCTGCTCTAAGGTACTCGCCTCCATCGCCCGTCATAGTGTCCTCGCCTGCGCAAGAGACATGTTTGTGGTGTCAGTAAGTACTGGACTATATATTTCATTCAACGTGACATATTTGAATGATTAGTCATCTGACTTCAATTGAACACTTTTTTTTTGCACTTCTTAAGTATAGCATTCATTAAAAAAATACAACACAAAAAACCCCCAACATATTTTACCATTTCCACTGTCACCCCACGGTAATGTCTGCTCATCTTAAGTTTAGTTTCTTCTTTATTCAGTCTTTCACAAGTTTACTCAGTTTTCGGTCACTGAATGTGAAATGTTATATTATGCAAAGCGGTGTGTTTATTGTTTTCTAACTGTTACCATGAACATAGCTATAGTGAAGATTTCGGAGTTAGAGGTGCTGTCGTGTGATTGTGTTGCACAACAAGTATTTAACCTGCAAGCCTATTTGGAAATTTTCCATTCTGTTTGCTGTGTGAAACCAAATCAGAGGCCTTGAATTGGAAATTAATAGCATCAAGTCTGTGGTTTTGTGATTTTGAAAGTTTTCAGGCAATGCAGCAATGCAAGACTTTTTTTTTTAAACAGTGATGATAAATTTTGATATATTAAAGAGAAAATTGGTACAGTATTGAATAGACTGGTGTCTGGGAGAAAAAAAAAGCAGACAAATAAACATGTCTGTAAAAAACAACAATTGTTGACATACAGTGTTGAGATGCTAGGATGAAAACAGATGTGCTGTGGGATTTTAGCATTGTTTGTTTTTTGTTTTTGAAATGTTTAAGTCCCAGAGCGTGTAATCGTGTTTCACACGATTTTTCTATACAGTTAGAACAAACAACACACTATGGCAGAGAGGACCTGCAGTAAAACCCACACATTTTGAACACAATGGTAGTGGTGCATAACAAATTAGTATCACGCCCACACATAGGTGAACCGACAAAATGCAGCGGTACCTTCCAGCTCGAGAGACATCTCAGAGCAAGGATCATCTTCAAGGCCGAGAGCTATGAAACATAATGCTTTTAACACTACATACCCCGCAAACTGTAGGCTTCAGTCAATGTTTAAATGGAAAAAAAAAAAGCATCATAATAATTGTCACCTTCTTCATCAGACACATCAAGGATTTCCGTCATAGTTTCTGGGACGTTGAGTTTGTGTTTCTCTCATAGGTGAACCGACAAAATGCAGCGGTACCTTCCAGCTCGAGAGACATCTCAGAGCAAGGATCATCTTCAAGGCCGAGAGCTATGAAACATAATGCTTTTAACACTACATACCCCGCAAAATGTAGGCTTCAGTCAATGTTTAAATGGAAAAAAAAAGCATCATAATAATTCTCACCTTCTTCATCAGACACATCAAGGATTTCCGTCATAGTTTCTGGGACGTTGAGTTTGTGTTTCTCTGTGACCGTCTGGCAGACAAAGGATGAGAGGACAGCAAAAAATTGTTAAAGCATGTTATGAATCTTAACATGGATGGAATGAAACATTGAAAACAACATTACCGTTGTGGTAGTGATGACTTCCTCTGTGACCACTTTCAGTGTGTCTACCACCGAGATGTAACCCAGACGCCTGGCAATGGATAGAGCAGTGTTTCCGTTCTAAGATGAGGAAACATAATGTGTTAATTTGATATTATTTGGCGGGATTTTTTTTTTCATTTTTCTGTCCTTCTCACCACAGTAGTAGCACTTGGTTTGGCCCCATGCTGCAGTAAAATATTGATTATGTGTGTGTTTCCTTGTTGGGCCGCCTGGTGGAGAGGTGTGTATCCATTCTACAGGACAAATTGAACACAGGCGCGATGAAGTTTTGTCAGGTTTACAATGAAAACTAACATATCAGCGCCCTGATGGAGCTATTTAGCTCTTACCTTGGTTTTGGCGTTGACACTCGCACCTTGCTGTAACAGGAAGTTGACCATCTTGGCGTTTCCGTAGTGACAGGCTACTATTAGAGGTGTATAGCCAAGCTGGCATGGAAAAACAAAGAGTTGCAGATTTCACGATTTACTGTCAGTTTAAATAAAGCCAGGTTGTCACTGTTTTTTAATAAAAATGTGCTATTTGGTGCAGGTCAATGATTTATCAATGAATAATACGTGCTTAATGAAAACATTTAGAAATATGCAAGGGATGATATTACTGAAAGAGAATAATTTTGCTGCCACCGGGACAAAATCTTCTATGTCACAATTTGATACATTTGATATATTTTCACAAATGAAAGCTATTGGTCAGTTCGCGCGTGTCATTGAAATTTTTTAACAAAATAACCAATCGAAAGTATTAAGGATGGCTTTCTCTCTTTGACGATGCAATATTAATGAGTGAACGAATATAGTGGGGTTTTTTTTGGGCGGGTGGGGTGGATTTTGGATGTGTAAGGCCCAACACCAGCAGCAATTTGGTGTTTAGGATTTAAATTGTTCAGGATAAGTGGGTGTCTATTATTATGATGATGATTATTATTAAAAACCGATGTAGTAAAAGAAAAAAAAAACAGGGCAGATTCGAAATCAGTGCAAAACATAATCTAGACAAATGTACTTAAATATCAGATTAAAAAAATAATAATTTAAAAATATTGACCAGTGTTATCAAACATAAAACAGAAAAGTAAAAATTGTACTGATCCTGTTTCCTATGTGACTTTGTCAGTCGTATGAAATGTGGCCATTAAACTAATGAGCTACTTTTCAGAATACGTACACAGTTAATATACAAAAATATTGCAGTATGTCTTTGTGGCCAGTAGGTGGCAGAAATTCTCTTAAGTGTTTGTTAACACACTTAATAGAGATACGGGCTCCTTTTTTTTTAACTTTTGAAAACAATTGCCACTCACAGGCAACCTAATGTTTTTGGTCAAAATTATCCCAAGGGTGAAGAACTATAATTTTATGAAAAATACATGCTAAGATGTGTTTTCTGTGTATACCTTCGTTTGCTGGTCCAGGTTGGCATCATGTTTGGCTAACACTTCTGCAGCACTGACCCTGTCCTCTTGTGCCGTGAGATGCAGAGGAGTCAGTCCACTCTGCAACACAAAGACACTGTGGGTCAACATAAAAAAAAATCAAGAATGATGTTTCGTAATTTTTAGCCAGGGGTTGTGCTTTCAATTCAAATTCAATGTGCAGACAAACATTTCAGCTTGACTCTCTGAGCATTGATACAAAAATTTCTTGGACCTTGGTGGCTGTGTTGATGTGTGCTCCTTTGCCCAGTAGCAAGCTGGCCATCTCAGCATGCCCCTCCTGTGCAGCCAGGTGAAGAGGACTGACTCCCTGCTTGGTCAGAACATTGGTTTCTGCACCGTACTCCAGCAGTGCTCGCGCAATGTTAGTCTGGTTTTTTTTGGCCGCGATGTGAAGTGGGGTGTAGCCATTCTGGACAAAGAAAAGTGAACAAGTAAAAACATGAATTCTTCATCACGAGTAAAGCGGAACCCTCTTGCAATAAAATGTGTGGCTTCTGTTCATTAACAAGGTAGAGTCATACATAACTACCATGACACTTTCTTTGACTATATGGCAAAGGCCTCACCTTTGCAGTCACGTGAGGTGAGGCTCCTTTGTCCAGCAGCAGCAGCGCCACCTCTTGGTTGTCATAATGAGCTGCTACATGTAGCGGTGTTAGTCCATTCTGCATGAGTAAGCAAGCATTTTGTTACACAATTAGGTAGCATGAAACAATTCTTGATGCCTATATTTCCTTGGACAAACACACTGACCAACTGTATCAGGTACATGTATATAATCTTTTTTTTTTTAATCCAATACATTGATCAATAATTATGCTTTCACAAATGACTTAATAATATATATTTTTTAATTCTTTATTTTTTTTTCTTAATTATTTTTGCCTTTGTCTTATACAGCAAAACAATTTGATGGGTTTTGGTCCTTCAACTTTTTTTGTTTTTAAATATGTTCTTTTCACATTAAAGGTTCTGTGTATGCTGCCATATAAACAAATTTGACATCCTTTATTCATCCAGTGAGGCTTATTGATGATGAAGACTATAGAACCAGATTGTTACAGTATATTATCACAATTCTGAATAGGCACTATAGTTCATAAATAATACATTAATAAAGGTATGACAGTCTCCCGAATGAGTATGCCCCAAATCATCTTTCGACTTACAGGTTAGAAATTACACACATTATTAACAGTGACCTGTCATAATTTTAGTTTTGTTCTTTGAAACAACATTCTGTACAGAGGGAGAAATAAAAAAAAGAAAAAAATCAAAACCTCATCTCACCTTGCCTGCATCATCAGGGAGAGCTTTGCGTTGTAGTAGTAGTTTTGCCACTTCAAGGCTTCCGTATTTAGCGGCGACGTGTAATGGAGTAAATCCTTTCTGCGGTAGTGGAAAACGAGAATGGAAAAAAATATATATATATCAGTCAATTTAAGTCATTTTTATCTTTGTATGACAACACTCATTCTTTTGCTCACCTTGGTGGCCATGGAGTGTGAGGCTCCGGCCTCCAGGAGCACGGCGGCTGTCTCCACTTGGCCCTCCCTGGCTGAAATGTGAAGCGGGGTGTAACCATTGATGGTGGCGGCGTCCGGGTGGGCCATGTGCTGTAAGAGCAGCTGGACAATGTCGGTTTTTCCTAATCGGGATGCAATGTGAAGGGGAGTCTGATCCTCCTGTGATTGCAGGATGAAATTGGGTATGAGCCGATCAATCAGCATAACATTAGGTAAGCGAATGAGGTTCACAACAAGAACAGTCCGATTCTTAAGAGATTGTGCAGGTGCATGGAAGCAGAAATATGGTCAGTGCTGACTCACTCTGGCCATGGCATCCACCAGCGCGCCGTTTCGCAGCAAACAGCGCACCACCTCCATCTGGCCTGCTCGGGCTGCCATGTGTAGAGCTGTCTCGCCACGCTTTTGACCAAAGACCAAAAAGAACGTTATTATGCTAGGCACAACAATTGTTTTGTCTTGGAAAGATGAAGAAATAAGAATCAGGGAGAAGCCAGTGAAAGCCCTGATTTGATTGGAATGATATTTCATTGATCAAGATGTGTGTGTGTCAATGTTTTAAAAGTGACAATACTAAAATGATTCATCTCTTGAACAAAGCCTAATTTCAGTACGGGTAGAACATTGCACAAAACGTCAATTAAAAAAAACAAAAAGAATACACTTATTTGCTGATTTGTCCCAACTTATATTCATTTGAAAACACTACTAAGACAAGATATTTAATGTTTAGTCAGTCAACTTCTTGTAAAAAAAAAAAAATCATATATTAAAAACCACTCTTCCCCCCAAAAAAAGAGAAAAAATACACTCAATAATAGGGTGTTACTTTTCAATCACTCCAACACAGTGCCAAACTTACAATGTTGCGGACATCGGGAGAAGCTCCATTCTGCAGGAGAAGTAGAACAATGTTGAGGTGGCCCATGAAGGCAGCGACATGGATGGGAGTCAAACCAGACTAAAAAAAAAAAATTTAGAGGAAAGACAGTTATAATATCATGGTCATTTGGCATCAATTACTGGACGGAAAAAAAATCTGAGACACTCATAGCATCCCACCTCAGTAATGGCTTGGATGGATGCTCCATATTTCACCAACAACTCCATCACTTTCACACGATTCTTTTTACAAGCAATGTGTAGGGGAGTGAATCCATTCTAGCAGAGAGAGAGAGAGAAAGATGTATTTCAAAGTGGTGTGACACGCTGTCACGTTATGCCCAATATGTATGCATACTAGCGCTCTGGCATTGGGATTGGCCTTCTTATCGAGCAGCAGCTTGGTGACCCTGTAGTGGCCGCAGTGAGCCGCGACGTGCAGCGCTGTGAGGTAATCCAGTGTGACATCATCAACCGGAGCCTTGTCCTGCAGCAGCAGCTTCACACATTCCACATGGTCGCCCTGGGCTGACATGTGCAGTGGGGACAATCCATTCTGTGGATGATGAAGAAACACGCGATCATCTTCTGTTACACACTCAACAGACACATACACAACGTAACGTGAGAGTTGGCATATTATATTTCATTTAGGATCTGGAAGAGTGTTTTTGTTTCATCTTAACTTTGTAAGACATTATTGTACCACAGAAGGTACACTGTTTCTTCTGTGTCTCTAATGGAGTTACGCCATACTTGCCGATCACTAAATATGAGCATATTAGTGGAGTGTTACCTTAGTTCTGGCTAAAATGGGTGCTCCTTTTTCCAGCAGCAGCTCCACTGCTGGGTCATGTCCACTCCTGGCTGCGCAGTGCAGAGGCGTAAGCCCATCCTAGAAGGATCAAGTTTAAGTGAGTTAGGATGACGCAATTTTTCCAAACCAGAAAAGACGTAGCCGTATTTCTGCAACGCAGGTGATGACATGCAAAGAACACATTGACCTGTGTATCTCCAATACCCGTTGCCATTTATACCACAGAATTCAAGTAAATGAGCCCAGATTTCCCAGTAAACTAAGACAAGATCATTTTTCTTCAGTAAACACATCTTTTTTTTTTTTTAAATGAAAGTTTTGTGTGTTGCACTGTGGGATTTTTCTGTGAAATGTAAAATTTGTGGCTTGGCTCAGGGTACGCTGGAAAAAGGGTCCATAGGCTGCTATGTTGAGTGTTTTGCAAAAGCCAATGTACGGACTCACCCTGGTTTTAGCGTCGATCTGAGCGCCTCGGTCCAACAGCAGGAGCACCATGTTGGTGTTGCCTCTCTTTGAGGCCACATGCAGAGGTGTTATTCCATTCTGACAGGACAGATGAGAACACAGTGGGAGGGACAAGAACAATGTTATAACAAGATTACAGCAATTTGGGGACTTTTAGCCATAGTCCAGATATTGACTTTAAAATATTGTGTTCTAAAAAGAAGGTCCAGGTCTCTCAATAAGAAAGCATCAGGAAATAGAAACAAAAGTGCAAAAAAGGAACAGAGAGAACATAGCAGTGGATCAGGGGTGCCCAATACGTCGATCACAATGGACCGGTAGCCCGCAGAGAAAATACATAAATAAAAATATATAATACATAAATAAATAAATACATCTGATTTCTGTGTCTGTGTGCGTGTTATTAATATGAGACCGGTATATTTTTGTGTTTATGCACACTGCACCCTAAGCATCCTATCATTTTCACTTTGACAAAAAGTATTTAGAAAATAAAATAAAAAATCTGAAAAAGCAGATCAACTTTAACCTACGGTGGCGCATGATCTGCATCACCGGAAGTTGTTAGCGGTCAGCAGTCTGGAATTGCAGCTTGCGATAAGAGCTGTTGCGAGATAGATTTTTTTAAATTGTCATGATTCTCATTCAAAGTTTGTTTCATGTACAATTCACTGATGGTAAAGAATGGAAATCTGGAGCACTGGGAGAAGCATTTTAAAACAGTAGACGTATGTACGATACCTTCGGGACTTAAAAGGCTGCGTCTCATGCCACAGGTCTCTACTAGGGTAGAAAGTGATTTCCTTTTCACAAACTCACAACCTATTGTATCTACTTTACTTTTCTGTTCCGTTCATGTTAGGGTGCTGTTAGGGCTGTTGCTCATCATGGCATGCATGTGTACGTGGGTGCACATGCCCGTGTGTGCATGGGTGCGCGTGCATGTTTGCGCACAGGTGCGGTTACGGGTCCATCGCGGAAGGTCGGTTGCTTTGAAAAGTAGATCTTCGGTCAAAGAAAGTTGGGCACCCCTGAGGTATATGAAAAAAACCTTTTGTAATTTGTCCAACTTCTGGTACTGTACTGTCGATGAAGACATTAATTACATTGTACATTTCAACAGCCTTTCAGAAAATGCCAGTGCCTTAATTTTCAGTGGAGATATAATGGCTGTAGCTGCTGAGTAACAGCACACGCAACCGAGTGTCTTGATGTGATTACAGAACGTGGAATAGGGCGGCTACCCTGGCTGTGAAGTCCACAGCGGCTCCTCTGTTCAGCAACAGGGTGGAGACATTCACGTTGCCATAGTGAGCGGCGATGTGCAGAGGGGTGAAACCACTCTGTTTGAGACAAGGGGAGAGGGGGCGGGGGGCAGGAGAGCATAGGAGAAGACAACAAGGAGAGGAGAGGGAGTAATGGCGGAAACAGCAGGTGAAAACAGGAGAATGCTTGCAAAAAAAAAACAAAAACAAAAAGAAACAGAAATCTCATTCCGTTCGACTTGCATTACCATAAGGCGGCATGCTTTAAAACACACACATAAACATCTTGATATAAGAAGAAGCATTAAAAAAAATGAGCATGCCCAGATTAACGCATGCAAAGTTTTCTTGACTGCTATGTTGGTGAGAAAGTCAAAGCTTGAACGACAACAAGACACAACAGCAAACTGCAGAAAGCATCTACTTGTGAATCTGCCGACAAGACAAATGGACACTGATCGGTGTGAGCGCTAAACTACAAACAAATCTACAGTAGAGTCAGTCGTAGGTGTGTTCACTCCTTACCTTCCCATTCTGATAGACATGGTGCAATTTGATTAAGAAACAGAGTTAACGTAAAAATGGAAAAACACATCGCATATCATCGGGCTTTTAGGTGTACACATGCTGCAAGTGATGGAGAGAAAAAGAGCAGCGACGAAATAAGAATAACATGTTGAGCTGTTTTTGATAAATACCGACGACTAATAAAAACCGAACACGATTTTAAATTCACGTGATCTAAGACGAGAGTAGATCTCGTGTGGCAAGAAGATTTTCTTGTATACATACTGTAAACGGAGAAGAGTGTGAGCCATGCTGGGATATCGCTTCCATGCAGTCAGATTATTTCAAAATGGCATTTTTGCATGCATGGAAAATAAAGTCCTGAAAAAGGGGGGAGCTAAAAACAACAAAGCTTGAAAAGATGGTCAAAGGAGACAAAAATGAATTCGCGAGAGCGGCGATGAGTCGGTAGTTGTACCTCGGTGGTTCTATTGACCATCATCTGGTTAGTAGGCAGAGAGAAATGGGAGGATAGGGTGTTGGGTTGGTAAGGAAAGGGCTTTCACCACCACATGACAAACAAAAGTAAGTCAACAAGGTCGCACAGAGGAAAAGACACGGAAGCCGTTGGTAATGCACTTTGAAAAAGACCCATGAACAGGGAAATGGAATCAACAGGATTCCTCCGGTGATTTTGACTGATGTTGAGGATCAATTTCCTCATCATCTGACCAGAGTTATCTTGGATCGGATATCTTTTTTAAAAAAAAAAAAATACCATCCTCCTGATCATGGCAGTACTATTTTTCCAGAAAATGTGACGATCATTTGAGAGTTATGCATTCATTTGACACCTAAAATGAAAGCCGGCCCCAAGTTACCTTGCCCTCACTGGATCAATTTTCGTAGCATTGCCTCCACGTTGATACTGTAACTTGACGAGGCTGTCATTTGCCTTCCCTCCTTTTTAATTTTTCACGATACCGTCCACGTTTACACCAGGAGTCACCATCTTGGCGCCGACAGGCACCAAATAGTCCCAAATTCATGTTGGCCTGCTCTAAAATAGCTCGCCAGTGTCGGGACATTGTGATTTCCAGGATGTTTTCGAAGTGATCAGTTAAAAAAAAATGTAAGCAAAACTTGAAGCGAACTATGCGTATTAATACTTATGTATCTGTTTCTCACTTTGTTTGATTACGCTGATCAAGAGCAGATTTTATTCAAAGATGGCTTTAAGTGTCCTTAAACATATTTTTTATGCTGATTTCCATGATATCTTCACTTAATTTTTAGCACATCAGGCTTTTTTAGTTGGACCTATAAAGCTTATAACATTAAAAAAAAAAAACTTCTACCTGTTCCGGAACATAACCCTCAATTCATAAATATTACTGAATATATTACTACATGACATATTATATTATTGTTAATGTATGATTCATATTATTACAGAAACCTGATGTGTTAAGAGAAAAAAAATGACAACAGATTCAAAGTCAGACCAAAAAATGTCATCTAGAAAGTTGAATTGTATCTCTGATTAAAAAAAAAAAAAAATGTAAAAAAATGTTGACTGCGTTATTGATAAAAATCAGCGTCTTTGCATAAATGACGATCATTAATTATCATTAACAACTTAAATTAAAGGTAATTTGAGCAAATTTGTTATTTCAAAAGTGTGCGACAAATTGGCGGCTCTCCACATTAATCAGCTCTCGATTTCCAAAAGGTTGGTGATCTCTGCCCTCCACTCTCTACGTTGCACCATAAATCCAGCACTGTGGCACCCGCTCACCTTGGACTGAACGTCAGCGTTGTGGTCGTTCTGGAGCAGCAGTGCGGCTGACTTGGTGTCGTCCTTGCGGGCCGCGATGTGCAAGGCGGGCAGGCGCACTTTGCCTTTAGTGTCGTGCTCCAGCAGCAGGGACACCACTGCGTTGTGACCCTGCTGGAGTGCGATGGCAAGTGGGGTGAAGCCATCCTTTGAGGAGCACAGAGAAGAGGGAAATGCGGACATCACGTTCGCGTAAAATGGGTTGTGAGTGCAAAAAAAAAAAAAAAAAAAAAATCATAGTGATTGTAACAGACCAACGTTTTAAGAAATACCCCAACACGTATTAATTTGTTTCTCTTCAGTTACCTCTGTTGCTATACTCTGGTTTGCATCATTTTCCAGCAAATATCTTACAACCTCCAAGTGATTCTCCTGTGCGGCCATATAGAGCGGTGTGAAGCCATTCTGTGTGGAGAGAGTAGATGGGCCACATCTCACAAACGATGCGGTTTGCTTTTCAATCCACCCAAGTACCTTGTGCTCAAGACTTCTCACCTGAGACTGCGAGTTCACATCAGCTCCTCTCTTCACCAGGAGCCGGACCACCTCTTTTTGCCCAGCCAGCGAGGCAATGTGAAGGGCGGTGTTTCCTTTCTGTGGAGTCAAGTAAGGGTTAAGTTGCTTGGATATCCATTGGTCTTCTTTCGATCCGCTTGTTCACAGGACCCATCTTCTCACGCCAGGATTTTATTTACTTATTTTTTACTTAAATAAGTAGTTGCAAGCCAAAACTAATTACAGCAGAATGCTTCAGAAGTCCCTAAGGCGACTGTTTTATTTGTTGAATCCGGCGAGGGCAAAGTAGGGCACTGGGGCCACATACGGCTCGCTTCATTCTTTAATCCGGCCCACCAGGCATTTGCATTATTAAGAGTGCGGTAATATGTGTTGTATTTAATTGTCACTTAAAATGCGTTCATTAAAATTAATTTATTCACATTTTATTTTGTATTTCTATGTCTCATAAAATAATTGGATCGATGATTTGTTCAATAATAAAATAAAAAAATAAAAAAAGAAACGTTGGAAACAAATTTTACATGTACTATTACTTAAAAGCATTAAAAAAATCAGTTGTTTATTATACAGTCCAGCACAATTACACAGTAATTAAATTACGTCTAAATAATACTATTTTTTTAAAAAAAAGAAGAAGAAATTTTTCAAACACACATTTTACATTTTAGATTTTTTTTTAAACCTCATCTACAAGTGACCAGGCTATTCTGTCCATATTAAAAATCAAGTGGGGCCCTTGAGCACAAAAGTGCTCTGTCCTAGTCTAACCTAATGTCACAGAGAGTTAAGCATGTTAAAATCCTTTTTTAAATTGACTGTAAAGGTCACAGAGGTTGATGACTGTTCTTACATATGTAAAAAAAAAAAAAAAATATCGATGCATCCCAAGTTTTCCAATGTAAAGCACTTGTATGTAAGTACATGCATTTTATTTTAGTATTAACAGTATGTTATCTAATAGCTTCTCAATGAAACATAAAACTCCCATTTTAAATGTTGTTGACTCAAATCAAATGAGTTCCAATGATTGATTCTTTTATTTTGCGGCCCTCAAGGTTCCTGAAAAGCGAATATCAAAGGCCACGCTGGTGTCAATGAAAGAACTTGGGCAACGGATTCCCGCCTGGCTGTCAAAAGCAGAGCGTGAGGATTGGAGAGAGTCACATAACAAACATCTTATCTGACATTCACTCCTGTCCAGTGTCACAGTGCTCCTCCCACATTTCACCTCCTGGGTTGAAGTACAAAGTAAATGAGCAAAAAAATATTATTCTGTTGTGTTTTATTTGTGTGTTTTCACTTTTTTCTATGTATGAATGATTTGTATTTTTAACCACATCCTGGAAAAAAATAGGGTAATTATAACTTTTTTTGTGGGCTGGAGCGGATTAATTGCATTTCCATTTATTTTACTGAGAAAAATAACCTCAAGTTATGAACTTTCCAGGTTACAAATAGGTTCATTGAACGAGTTAAGTTTATAACTTAAGGTTCCACTGTATATTGGAGTACATCTAAATGAAACTGTACCTTCGTGGATGAGTCAACAGGCGCTCCTCTCTCCAACAATTCGTCCACAAGGTCCTGGTGTCCCTCTTTGGCCGCCAAATGCAAGGCATTCAAACCATTCTACAAGGACAACGAAAACAGAGTACATGAATTGTTCAATAGTGATACAGGAGCATATCTGTGACATTTATATATAGATCCTATCAATCCTTTAAATTTCATGGATGGAGATTAGTAAACTTGACATGGAGTGACAAGATAACGGCGCTTGACAAGACGGACAACGATTTCTGTCATATTTGGTTTATAATTCAAAAACAACGACATCCTCTATCCACACAATATGTTGATATTCTGAGGAGGAGCAGCAGGAATAGTTGCCTTTCAGTTATGCTGAAGTCTTGGATTTGTAGCTGGCAGAGGTAATGCAAAACAAATACAATCCTGGAGCTGCACCAAAATTAGAAAATGTCCTCGTCGGATCACAGCACACCCCGTACAAACTTTTGTGAATACAGCATACACGGATCAAGGGAGACAGTCAGCTTCCGCTTTATGAATAAAACTCGGTGCACAACAATATACAGAATCGCATATTCACCTCATCTTCCTCTTCTTCCATTGTGTACTGTTTACTTCTATCTACAAAAATAGTTCAACGTAGTCTTGCCTCTACCGTTCACACTCCTCTAAGTGTCAAACCGATGTTTCCTTATCTTTTCAGTTCTTCCCAAAATTCCTTCTTACGACTTCCTAATCTATGCTTTCAGCTGGATTCTGGACTTTCAACAATAGTCCACAGGTTTAGGTCCAAAGTTGTAGGAGTGTCCTCCTCCTCTCCCCCGTGCCTGCTGGCTCTGAAGATTAGCCTGGCAGTGAAGTCAACCAGGAGCTGCAATGTTGCTAACACCTACACCACCGGCACCCCCTTTCTTCACTTGTGCACGTATGACATGCACGCACACACACACACACACACACACACACACACACACACACACACACACACACACACACACACACACACAAAAGCAAAAAAAAAGTGGGCGCGCACACTCGCACAGGGGTAAGACTTGAGTTCCTAAATGCCATAAGCGGTGTCATGTTCCTGCCTACTTTCTGCACAGTCATAGAGGGTAAGTAGGACACGCAAGTACATAAACAGGGGTACTCATCTTTAGAGGCAACTTAAATGTCATCCTTTCAAAAAAGAAAAAGAGGGCAGTCCTCAGGGAGCAACCTATGCCAATCACAATGCGGATCAGTGAGCAACTTGAGTGACTTTCAAAAGTTTTACATGAAGGTTGCCGTGATGCTCTGTGCGAAAACATGCAACACATAAAAATGCATGTGCAAATACTGTACATTCTAAATCTAAGGTCTCTCCCCTTTTTAACCGAGATATAGTATTTCTTTAATTACCGGTAGTCAAATGTGGCCTTCCCATGACTTCCTATGCAAATGAGGTTAATTGAAGACACTAAATTGCCGGTACGTGTGAATGTGATGTGAATGTGAAAATATGCTCCGTCAAGAGCTGGCAACTTGTCATTTGGGTGGACCACATTTAAAAAAAAAAAAAAAATCCAGCTCACCCTGGACAGGATAAGCACTTGAACATGCATAAACAATCAAATATCTTTATCTGATCACTACAAAATGTAGAAGGCCACAAAGAACAAAACCATTACACTTTGCAAATAGACACAATTATGAGAATACATTTAAAATGGTAAATTCAGTTCTAATTCTCCCCCCCCCAATATTTTAAAAGCATAACCATTTGAATAAAAAAGTATAACTAATTAATTCATATAAAATATAAATATTATGAAAATAAACTTAGAATTATACAGAAATAGATTTGTAATACTACAGGAAAACAGACATGATTTTACAAGAGTCAAGCAATAATATTCTGAGAAAAATATTGCCATTTTATGAGGATGAAATCGGGCATAAACCTACAGTGGTTATAAAAAGCTAAAGACAGCAGGGATGGATAGACTCCAGCACTCCCGCAAGGACAAAGCGGTTAAAATAATGGTTGAATGGATGAAACAATGTAGCTGCACACCTGTGCAAAAGGCGGACTACATCCAGGATTGGTCGCCAGTCAATCAGGTCACTAAGCGGGCAAGTGAGCCCATGCACGCTGCCTTCACTCAAGTCAGGTAAGTATACAGCATACCTATGCCATCACTAACTACTTTCATCCTTTAAGTTGTTTAAATTCGAAAAACATATCTCCCAGTATATAATCATTTGATGACTTATATAAGGTACACCTCGTATTATTATTTATGACTATTATCATTACCTTAACAGAGGCAGAGTGTGCAGGTGTCCCTAACGATATGGCTTAGCAAGTGTATTGCATAATGTGCAGTCCAACATCATAATCCCTATTGCTACAATCAGGTTGGTGTGATTACGCTGAGCTCATCGTACGCGTAACAGCGTTCGTGCGGTCGCATCGCCAGTGCTCTAATGCCGTCCCATCAATGAATTATAAATCACACAGCCTAGTGAGTCAGCGATATTTTTGTCACTGCGGTGCCAAAAAGCAAAAAGGAAGCAGCTTCCAAATGTGCGTCAAGATGATCCTAGCTGCACATTTGAAAGCGCATGCAGCCTGGCAGGTTTTAGCCTGTCATCAAAAGTGTGGGATTCGACACACGTTAACACGCGTGCTTTGGGGACATTTCCCACATAATTACGCTTGGTGTAGCTTTGACTTACTAATTTGAGATTGCTTCTTGTGTTGTTGAAAGAAACGAGCGTTGGCCGTCAGTAATATAGACGTGACTCCAAAAATTCTGTAAAATACGAAAGCAACACAAGCTTGTGTTCACGCGGTTCTTTGGTGGATCAGTCAAAATGTCTGCACATCAGCGTCGTAAAGATGGAATGTCCAATTTTTGTGCCCTGCAAAAATCGAGGGACAATAGCTCACACACACACACACACACACACACACGCACACACACACACACACACACACACACACACACACACACACACACACACACACACACACACTAAACCTCTTTTTCCTCTGAGCCGTAACTAAAAGCTTCATTTAGCTAATGGACATGTAGCTAGTAAATCGACATGTCAGTAAACTCCAGCGGAGTGAGCTTAAACAGAATATCCATGTGACCTTATCCATCCTATAGTCCCAAGCTTTCTGTGAACTGAAATGACACACACGAGTACAGTAGAGCAAATAATGTCAACGTGTAAATTTAAGAGTAATATCACTGGCAGAGGATTAAAATTTGGGCGGATTAGAGGGGAGCAATGGCCTTTTAATTGTGAGCAACATAAAGATGACAAGCATACATGCTTGGCACAAACATTCATGCGATACAAATTCCTGTGTTTTAACAGAAATAATTGGCCTGTCCAAAATAAATACATCTGTTTTGGTTTGCCTCATTCATGAAATCTGCGAGTACTCTTGTTTTTACAGTCAGGAGGAGGATCTCTGACTCCAAACTAACTCGGCTGCCTTTGGCTTTGCGCACCACACTTGATCTCATTGCTGCTTTCCAAGATCTTTGGAGGCACTTATAACATATGACGTTATACCATCTCAAAGAAACTAAGATCGGCACTTTTCCTGAATCTCACTGAACCGATGTTGGCAGATAAATACTATCTTGTTGATTCGTAAGGAGCAGGCAGTGTGCGCCGTGATCAACTGAACAATCAGTTATGAAGTCCATTACAGGTTTTGGTTATATAATATCATGACTCAGCTGACCACTGCGGACAATGGCTCTGTAATTGCATTGAGTGCTTTTCCACAGGCATCGTTTGGATCTGCTCATTTCCTTGGAAACAATAATATCCCTGTTAATCTCGGGTAACCCAATATTGTATCGATAGGACTCCGACGGTGATGCGCATGTAATCAGGTCTCCTGCCTGCAATGTCACACGCAGTGATTTGTTTCTAGGCCAT